AAAGCTGCCCTGGAGCCTGGGAAAGGGGGGGCCTTGACGCCGAACACGGTGTGAACGACCTCAGGACACCATTCCCTCAGGATCCCCGCTGCGCCGCGGTATCTCGAGCCGGCCGTTTCCAGGAATCAAGCCCTGCAGAGCGCTATGCTGACAAGGCGCGAACCACACTGGCCCAGCAGAGCAGCTCTGGGCATGTGCGGTTCCCTGCGCCAGCTCCGAAACCTACCAGACTCTCGGCAGGGTGGCGTGCTGGCCTCGCGGATGACGGGTAGGCCTTTGGCGGCTGAAGAAAAACGCATCCTCCTTCTCCTCATCCTCCTTCTCCCGCCCTCCTCGTCCTCGTCCTCCTCCTCCAGCTCCTACTCCTCCTCCTCCTTCTCCTCCTCATCATCATCGTCATCAACACAATCATCATCATCAGCATCATCATCACCATCATCATCATACCATCAGCATCATCATCATCGTCATCATCAGAAGCGTCATCATCAGCACCAGTGCCATCGTCGTCATCATCATATCATCATCATCATCATCATCATCATCATCATCATCATCATCGTCATCAGAACCAGTACCATCATCATCATCACCATCATCACCATCACCACCACCATCATCATCACCATCGTCATCACCATCAGCACAATCATCAGTGTCAGCAGCATCATAATCAGTATCATGATCACCAACATCATCGCAACATCATCGTCGTCATCAGCAACGGTAGCGTCATCATCATCGTCGTCATCATAATAGTTACCATCATCACCAACATCGCATCATCATTATCATCATCGCCATCAGCACCCGTACGATCATCAACATCATCAAACCATCATCACCATCATCATAATTGTCATCATCAGCACCAATACCACAATCATCATCATCATCATCATCGCTGTCATCGTCATGATCATCAAATCACATCATCATCGTCATCAGCACCAGTACCATCATCATCATGATCGTCATCATCATCACCATCAGCATCAGCACCATCATCATCATCATCATCATCACCATGACCATCATCACCATCACCACCACCATCATAGTCATCATTGTCATCGTCATCATCATCAGCACCGGCACCAACACAGCCATCAGAAGCAGCAACATCTCAATCACATCTTGGTCGTCATCATCACCTATACCAAGACAATCATCACATCAGCATCATCGTCATCCTCATCATCATCACATCATGATCATCATTGGCACCTGTACCATCGACATCATCGTGCTCACATGACCATCATCATCGTTATCAGCTTCAATACCAAATACCATCATCATGGTCGCCATCATCATCACCACATCAGCATCAGCATCGTCATCATCCCCAGTACCACCATCATCATCATCATCATAGCCATCATCATCATTATCACAGCATCATCATCGTCACCCGCACCAGTACTTTCATCATCATCATCATCATCATCATCACCAGCAACAGTACCACAATCATCATCATCAGCATCACCACAATCACCATCACCACCACCATCATCATCATCCACATTGACAGCATCATCAATATCAGCACCAGTACCACCATCAATATAATCATAATCATCGTCATCAGCATCACAGCATAATCATCATCGACATCATCATCATCATCGTCATCAGCATCACGATAATCATCATCATTATGACCATCATCATTATCACAACATCATATCGTCATCAGCACAAGTGCCATCAGTCATCGTCATTATCAACACCAGTACCATCATCATGATGATCATCATGATCATCATCATCATCATCATTATCATCGTCATCATCATCATCATCATCATCATCGTAACCATCATCACCATCACATCAACATCATCGTCATCAGCACCGGTGTCATCATCATCATCATCACCATCCGCATAAGCATCATTGTCATCATCACCAGTACCATCATCATCACCATCAGCAGCAGCATCAGTACCATCACAACTATCAGCATCACATCATCATCACCATTATCATCGTCATCTTCAGCAACAGTACCATCATCATAATGATCATCATCATCGTCATCATCACCAGTACCATCATCATTTGTCATCACGGTCATCACCATCAGCATCGTCATCAGCAACAGTACCATCATGATCATCATCGTCATCATCGTCACTTGTACCAGTACAACGATAGCCAGCATCACCACAATCATCGTCTCCAGCACCAGCACCATGATTGCAAGTATCGTCATCACGATCAAATCATTATCATCCTGATCATCATCATCACCATAATCATCATCACCGTTATCTGCACCAGTACGATAATCATCAGCACCAGTACCACCATCATTATCATTATCATTATCATCGTCATCGGCACCAGCGGCATCATCATCATCATCGGTCTTAGCATCGTCATCATCACCACATCATCATGAGCACCAATACCAACATCACCCTCAGCACCAGTACCATAGTCATAATCACCATTAGCACCGTCATCGCCATCAATACCATTATCATCATCATCGTCATCATCATCACCTTTATCACCTTCATAGTCATCAGCATCATCGTCGTCGCCAGCAGCACCATGATCATCATCATCATCATCATCACCATCGTCATCAGCACCAGTACCATCATTATCACCATCATCAGCATCATCACATCAGCATCGTCATCAGCACTCATCATCACTATCATCATCACCATCGTCATCAGCACCAGTACCATCATCATCATCATCATCATCATCATCACCACCACCATCATCATCACCCAGCCGCGCGCGCGCATTGCGAATCCAGGCCCAGACGCGCCCGCGCGCTTGGCGCGTCCAGGGATCGGCGAGCCGGCGCCCGCGCGCCCTGCCCGTGGGCACGGCAGCGCGCTGGCGCGCAGGATGCCAGATCTTTGATGAAATTGAAAACCCCCTGGATTCTATTAGAATTCGCAAGAGCGCGCGCTCAGACCCTCTTTGGGGAAACTGATGTTTCAAAACTATGTGTTGTTATTTGTTTCCGGGGCGCTCGGTGTTGCAATCCCTACAAACTCAAGGTCTGGCGAAATCTTTCGGCATGTGCGCGCGCGACGACGCGCGCGCGCGCTCTCCGTCCCAGCTGTTTCACGGGCCCATTGCACATGAATGGCTTTTTATAGACAAGTGTGCGCGCATAGTGTCTGCTGCATAGGATGGTGGGGGGTCGATACTGCCCTGGCTGGGATGGTATGAATTCATATCTACAGTGAACAATGGGGCATATTCGTATGTGAGTTATACATCCCCAGGGCGGGGGTACAATCCCGGGGGGGGGAGGGGAGCGCAATTCCTTTAGAAAATAAAATCTATGTGGCGCGGTCTTCGCTGCTGCGGCGACGGCGTGGCAACGGCGGCAACAAGGCGGCAGCCCCGACAAACGAGCCCAGACGACGGGCGGCGACGAGGCAGCAATGGGGCGGTGACGGCGGCGACAAGGCTGCGGATCCGACAAGCAAATACCAACGACGGGCGGCGACGGGGCGGCGACAGCGGCAACAAGGCGGCGGACTCGACAAGCGAGCCCAGACGACGGACTGCCGGCGACAGAAACAACAACGCGGCGTATCCGACAAACGAGCCCAGAGGACGGGCGACGACGCGGCGACGGAGCGGCGACGGCGGCAACTAGCTGGCGGATCCGACAAGCGAGCCCAGACGACGGGCGGCAACGACGCGGCGACGAGGTATCGACGGTGGCAACGTGGTGGCGTACCCGACAAACGAGCCCTGACAACGGGCGGCGACGAGGCGGCGACTGGGCGCAAACGGCGGCAACAAGTCGGCGGACCCGACAGACGAGTCCTGTTCTGTAGAACGCCTGCAGACACCCTCGAGTGCAAACCATGTTTTGGAGAGCTGTTCTCGTGCTCCTATTCGAAACGATGTTGAAACACTGTCAAACCATTGGGAAATTGCTTATGTCCAAGCCACACAGAATCGCTGAAAACATATGGAACCCATGTGAGGTCAGGCCCCGTTGGAACCCGCACTCCCATCTCAACACACGGGGCACCCGCGTTGATCCAACATACATCCAGTGCGGGGGCCACATGCCCGCGCCGCCACCCGCGCCGGTCCACACCCTCCCGAAAAAGTGGCCTTCCAAACAGTTCCAGATGTAGCACTGCAAACATGGGTAGCACTGTTCAGAATAAAGGGTCCACCAAAGTTTTGCACAAACAGAAAAACACGTAGCTGCTCAGGAGAAAGCAACTCGACCGATGGTGTTGACGTGTTTTTCGTGTGCACTTCCTCGTCACCAACTGCAGCGCAATCACATCATCACCTCCGGCATCGTCACCGTCTATCGCCACAACAGCCGCCACTGGTAACACAACCACCTCCGTCACCGACACGTGGACATCATCATCGCCATCGTCGTCACCAGCATTGGCGTCGACATCGGAACTGCCGCCGTCGACCGCATCATCACCACCACCGTCACTATTATCATCTGATTTGCCGCCGTTGCCGGCGTCATCATGATATCACGCCCACCCGAATCATCGAATCGCATTGAAGTGCCCGCGCGCCAATGCGGCCTCCAAGACGCACTGGGAAGTTCCCATCGGTAAGCGCCGTCGCGACCGCATCAGTTGTGCCAAACCAGCCGGCCGCTCTGCGCGCGAACGTGTGCGCGCCAGCGCGGCCGTACAGATGCGCCAGCCACTGCCGAAAAGTCACCGCAATCGCGGCCGCATGGATTTTGCAAAACTTGTTGCGGGTGAGAGGGTGGGATGTTTGCGCGGGCCGTGGAGTTGGCAACCCATCACTGAATGTATTGCACCACGTACATCCTAAATGTTTGATGTTGCGCCGTAAAGATTCACACAGCATGCACAGATTGCACCACAGGCATTGCACATCGAGGGTTCAAGGATTCATTGATTGGGGCTCACACTTGCAAACATTGAATAATCGTAGAGGAAGAAGCTTGGAGAGGCGGGAGGGATAGAACGCGGCTTTGGAGGGGGGCCAAGGGAGAGGAGAGCAAGGGGACCAGGGGAAGGACGAGGACGAGAGGGATCTCTGCAGGCCCCCTCCTCCTCAAGTGAGCCGCCGATTGTCGACACGGCACTCAAAGCACCGAGTGCACCGAGTGCTAGCGACGCCTCACTCCGTCAAGTCATCAGCTGGTGGATTCGGTAGCCTTCGCGATGTGAATCTGATCGAGCAGCCGAGCAATTCTCGCGGTAGACTGCTCCGTGCGAACATTCACAGATCTGATCTCCCGGATCTCCCACTTCAGAGACTCCACATCGACGCGCGTGGCGGACCCCCTCATTCGCAAGCACCCCTCAATGAACTCGTGGAGGGAGACGCGGCCAGTCTGATCCGTGTCGAGGATTTTGAATAGCTTCCACGTCTGCTTTGCGTCGATGTCAAGTGCTGGAGCAGAGGCCGCACTGCAGTCCAGCACAGGGACGCGAGATCCCCCCCGACCTCACAAGGGTCACTGGTCGGCCCCTTCTTCTCTTGCCCATGGTCTTGGTCCGCCGAGACGTCGGAAGACACGAATCCTTGCTCAAAAAAACAGCTGAACTGCAGAGACTCATGGAAACGGAGACTCATACGCGGAACGATGAGGGAAGAGGCCAGGGAAGGAGGACGAGAAAGACAAAGATGAGGCGGTCAAGGAGGTGGATCAGCTGACATTCTCGCTGCTGCCTCTGCTGCTGCTGATCAGGGCTGGGCTCTTCCTCATCCTCCCCTCCCTCCCCCGCCGACTCCTCCTCCTCCTCCTCCTCCTCCTCCTCCTCCTAATTCTCCTCCTCCTCCTAATCGTCCTCCCTCTTCTCCCCAACCTCAGCCCACCTCATCCCCCTCGTACTTCCCCCCGATGCCACGATTCGTCAGTCGAGGGTCTGCTTTCTCATCGAGTGCTCTTTCATCCACTTGCGAGACTGGTGTGCGGCCTCTGCGGCTTTGAACCACGACTGCACTTTTGGCTTTGCCATCTGCTCGTGAATATCGAGTGCTGTCAGCCCATCATCAGCATCGTAACTCTCATTCATTTCCTCGAAGAGCAGCTTCAGGCGGTCTGCGTACACCTGCTTCTCCTTAAGCTGAGCCTCAATGGTGAGGTCCAAATCCGTTTGGGCCCCCTCGATTGCGTTCTGACAGAATCCGCTGCCCCTGGCATGTTGAGGCGGGGTAGGATGCCAGTGCTGTCTGGTTGTTTGTTCGGCAATCGCAACAGCCCTTTGGCCCTTTGGGCTAAGGTGGTCTGACGATATACTTCGTTCCTTGTCAACAACCCTCTGCCCGTCGGGGAGGGGGACCCTCCCCCTCCCCTCCCTAAATACTGTTTTTTGGGGCGGGCCGCGATCGGTCAGAGCGTCCAAGACGGCCCAAGATGGCTCCAAGAGGGCCTCCAATGCTCAAAGATGGACTCCAAAATGGCTCAAAATAACCGAAGATGGTTCAATATAGCTCCCGATATACCTCTAAGAGGCCCGACGAGGGCCACAAGACGGTTCTAGTGCTCCGGAGCCCCGTCAGGACCTCCCAAAAGGCCAAAATCCTTCAAACACCTTTGGGAAAGCAATGACTGTTGCCTTCTCGCCTTTTCGCGTCCGATGAGTGTTTCGGGCCTCAAGATGGCCCCAACAAGAGAGGCCCCGGAGGAGCCCAAGAGGCCCCCCAAACAACCCCAAGAGCGCAAAAGAGTTGTCCAAAAACGACCCAAGAGAACCCCAAGATGCAGTGTCGAGGGCTCTTGGGGGTAGACGGAAATCGGGGACCCCCTCCCTTGTTATCGACGCGACACCCTACAGGATGGCCCCAAGAGGCCTCACAGGGCTCCCGAGGGACCTCAGGGGAGCCCCAGTGGGCGCTAAGAGCGCCCAAGAGCGGCCCAAGAGCGTCCCACGAGGGCTCCAAGAGGAGGTGTCTCCTTTTGCTGCCCATTTCACAATACAAAATATGAGTACTACTCCCCCTCCTCCCCGAAAGTTGTCTGGATGATTTCCCGCACCCTCCGCAGCGTGCTGTTCTGGTGTTATACATTCCGAGTTTTCGATGCTTCAAGACGATGCTCCCGCTGCAGCGTGGGCCTCATTTTCGGATCGGCGCTTTGCTCCCGTCGCTCAGGATGACGCTGTCACCCCAGCGCGGGCCACGTCTCTGGATCCGAGTCTTGCTGCATTGTGGTCCCCGGAATTTCCCCTCCTCCGCCTTCCCCTGGTCTTCCTATTCCTTCCGTTCCTTCCACTCCAGTTCCTGTTGCTACGGTTCGTCCCGCCCCAGCGCGGACATCGTTTCTCTTCGTCGTTGTCGCCCCCCGCAAATCCCCTCCACCGTCTTGCCCTGGTCTTGCTTTTCCTCCCGATCCGTCCGCTCTAGTGGCTGCTGCTGTTGTTCGTCTTCATCCTTTTCATCTCACTCATCCTCCTGCTCACCCGCCACCACCTCCTCCTCCTCCTCCTCCTGTGCACCCAGCTCCCCTTTCTCCGATTGCGAAGAACACGAAATAGTCTTTCTGCTGGAATCGCAGGTCAGCTAGGACACGCGTTCGCGGATAGAAACACATTAGCGCCATGAGGAGGGATGGGAGGGAAGGACAGAATGTCAGATGAGCCGCGAGCGCACCTAGCTTGTCCTCCTCCCCCCGCCCCCCGCCCCCCCGCGGACCCCAGGGATGGCCCGAAGAGGCCCTCCAAGGCCACCCCCTTGCTCCCAAGGATCTCTCTGTTCATCCTGGTTGCCCGCCTTGCTCCACTTTTTCCCAACCATCCTGTGGTGTTGGGTCCTCGTTTTGAAGAGACGGTCCCCGCGTTCCTCTCCTCTTCTCCTCCTCTTCCCCCCTCCCTCTTCCATGCGTTTCACCCACCCAACACTTCGTGGCCCCATGGGGAGCTCCACCGGAGGTCCCAATGGCACCGCCCGCATGCGTCCGCCACCACCCAACACGGCCCTTGCTCCTTGCGTTTCACCCACACAGTACTGCGCTTCGTGGCCCCATGGGGAGCTCCTCCGAAGGTCCCACTGGCACCGCCCGCGTGCGTCCGCCACCACCCAGCACAGCCCTTGCTCCTTTCGTTTCACCCACCCAATACAGCCCTTCGTGGCCCCATAGGGAGCTCTACCGAAGGTCCCAGTGGCACCGCCCGCATGCGTCCGCCACCACCCAGCACAGCCCTTGCTCCCTTCGTTTCTCCCACCCGGTACAGCGCTTCGTGGCCCCATAAGGGGCTCCACCGAAGATCCCAGTGGCACCGACCGCATGCGTCCGCCACCACCCAGCACAGCCCTTGTTCCTTGCGTTTCACCCACCCAATACAGCGCTTCGTGGCCCCTTAAGGGTGCTCCACCGAAGGTCCCAGTGGCACCGCCCGCATGCGTCCGCCACCACACAGCACAGCCCTGGCTCCCTGCGTTTCACCCACCCAGTACAGCGCTTCGTGGCCCCATAGGGAGCTCCACCGAAGATCTGCGTCCGCCACCACACAGCAGCCTTTGCTCTTTCGTTGCACCCACCCAGTACAGCGCTTCGTGGCCCAATAAGGAGCCTCCACCGAAGGTCCCAGTGGCACCGCCCGCATGCGTCCGCCACCACCCAGCACAGCCCTTGCTCCCTGCGTTTCGCCCACACAATACAGCGCTTCGTGGCCCCATCAGGGGGCTCCACCGAAGGTCCCAGTGGCACCGCCCGCATGCGTCCGCCACCACCCAACACGGCCCTTGCTCCCTGCGTTTCACCCACCCAATACAGCGCTTCGTGGCCCCATAAGGGGGCTCCACCGGAGGTCCCAGTGGCACCGCTGGCATGCGTCCGCCACCACCCAGCACAGCCCTTGCTCCCTGCGATTCACCCACCCAGTACAGCGGTTCGTGGCCCCATAGGGAGCTCCATCGAAAGTCCCAGTGGCACCGCCCGCATGCGTCCGCCACCACTCAATACGGCCCTTGCTCCCTGCGTTTCGCCCACCCAGTACAGCGCTTCGTGGCCCCATAAGGGGGCTCCACCGGAGGTCCCAGTGGCACCGCCGGCATGCGTCCGCCACCACCCAGCACAGCCCCTGCTCCCTGCGTTTCACCCACCCAGCACAGCGTTTCGTGGCCCCATGGGGAGCTCCACCGAAGGTCCCAGTGGCACCGCCCGCATGCGTCCGCCACCACCCAACACGGCCCTTGCTCCCTACGTTTCGCCCACCCAGTACAACGTTTCGTGGCCCCATAGGAGATTCACAATTGCGGTACTCACAACTGCATATGGTTGGGTCTTTCTCCAGGCTAATTTGTTTGTGTCCCTTCGTCCCTTTTCCAGTCAGCTCTCATGAGCTGTTTTCTGGACGGGCTGCCCCCCCTTCACCCCCCGTGTCCATCTGCTTGCATCGCCTTCCTAATACCGAGGGTTCACGCGTCGCGCTGACGCCACCCTGGGCTGTCGAAACCTCTGCAGGGCTTCCAACAGCCAAAGAACACAGCCAAGGTTACCAAGATGGCTCAACGTTGCCCCAAGAAGCACCCAACAGCTCCCAAGACGCGCTGAGAAAATCCCGATCAACCTCCATCGTGATCCTGGCGAAAGACCCAACCATATGCAATTGTGAATAACGCGTTGTCGGTGCCGCTTTCATTGGTCCACGCAACGCGCGATGGGGCATGCCGTAATAAGTGGGGCCACGGTACGCTGTAGTGGGTGGTGGAGACGCATGCGGGCGGTGTCACTGAGGCCTTCGCTGGAGCTCCCTATGGGGCCACGGAGCGCTGTACTGGGTGTCGCGGGCGCATGCGGGCGGTCCCACTGGGACCTTCGGCGGGGCTCCCCGTTGGACCACGACGGGCTGTACTGAGTGTGGCGGACGCATGCGGGCGGTGCTACTGTGACCTTCGGTGGAGCCCCCTATGGGGCCACGAAAAGCCATACTGGGTGTGGCGGGCGCATGCGGGCGGTCCCACTGGGGCCTTCGATGGAGCCCCCTATGGAGCCACGAAGCACTGTACAGGGTGTGGCGGACGCATGCGGGTGGCGCTACTGCACTGGGACCTTCGGTGGGGTTCCCTTTGGGCCACGAAACGCTGTTCTGGGTGTGGCGGACGCATGCGGGCGGTGCCACTGTAACACTCGGTGGAGTTCCCTATGGGGCCACGGAACGCTGTACTGGGTGTGGCGGGCGCATGCGGGCGGCCCCGCTGGGGCGTTCGGTGGAGCTCCCTATGGAGCCACGAACCGCTGTACTGAGTGTGGCGGACGCATGCGGGCGGTGCCACTGCACTAGGACCTTCGGTGGAGCTCTCTATGGAGCCACGAAGCGCTGTACTGGCTGTGGCGGGCGCATGCGGGCGGTGCCACTGCAGTGGGGCCTTCGGTGGAGCTCCCTATTGGACCACGAATCGTTGTATTGGGAGTGGCAGGCGCATGCGCGGTGCCACAGGGACCTGCGGTGGAATTCCCTATGGGGGTGGCGGACGCATGCGGGCAGTGCCATTGCGCTGGGACCTTCGGTGGAACTTTCTATGGGGCCACGAAGCGCTGTGCTGGGTGGTGGCGGACGCATGCGGGCGGTGCCACTGGGACCTTCGGTGGAGTTTCCTAGGGGGCCACGAAATGCTGTACTGGGTGCCGCGGACGCATGCGGGCGGTGCCACTGAAACCTTCGGACGCATGCGGGGGGGGGCCGCTTTCTGTGGGCCGCGCAACACGTGATGGGGCATGCCGTAATGAGTGGGGCCACGGAACGCTGTAGTGGGTGGTGGAAAGTCACGCGGGCGGTGTCACTGAGGCCTTTGCTGGAGCTCCCTGTAGGACCACGAAACGCTGGCTGCACTGGGTGCGGCGGGCGCACGCGGGCGGTCCCACCGGGACATTCGGTGGGGCCCCCTGTGGAGCCACGAAGCGCTGTCCTGGGTGTGGCGGACGCATGCGGGCGGTGCCCATTGCACTGTGACCTTCGGTGGAGCTCCCTGTGGAGCCACGAAGCGCTGTACAAGATGTGGCGGACGCATGCGGGCGGTGCCGCTGGAACCTTCGGTGGAGCTGCCTGTGCGGCCACGGAGCGCTGTACTGGGTGTGGAAGGCGCATGCGGGCGGTCCCGCTGGGGCGTTCGGTGGACTTCCCTATGGAGCCACGAATCGCTGCATTGAGTGTGGCGGACGCATACGGGCGGTGCCACTGCACTGGGACCTTCGG